CTACCTGTATTATCAATTTCTATGAATTCTTAAAAGCGTGGTGGGCAGAACTGGGCAAAATATTGAGGCAATATATTAAAAGAAAGCAATAACTTGTTAAAGAGTACATTAATAATGTACTTATGAGCACTTTTTGATATTGCACCTGACCTTCCTGGTTAGATCAAACATTGCTGTAAACATTTCCCTAATTGTACTTCTACTTTCTGTCCTGAATTTTCCTTTCTTCTTTTCATGGTATGTAGGATGTAGCAGATATACCAAAACACAAGTATAAATAAAAGATTGTAAACCTCGAATAAGTTATACATAAAAATACAATCAACTAAAATAAAAAAAAATATGTGTTTTAAAAACAAGTAAGTTAAAATCAGCAAAATCAACAATGAACTTTTTATGTAGTTCAAGATAACTGCAAGGAAATCAAATAGAATTCAGCTATTTATTATTATTATTATTATTATTATTATTATTATTATTATTATTATTATTATTATTATTATTTCAAAAATGCTTACCTTCACATAAGGCTATGCATTTTAAGTTTCGGCTTTGCAAAAATTGGGACTGCTGCCCCTTTTTTTGTAACTGTGAAAGAAAAGAAATATTGGAAGTGTTATATCAAATATTTTTAAAAAGCTTTCATGAATTATTCTTGCCGTTCATGAATTATTCTTGCCGGTAATACTGATATAATCTCTGTAGTCAAAACCACAATCATTTGTTATATTAGTCATAACTGTCCATTCAGGACCTTGATCCAATAATACAGGTAATTTCTGCAGGCATTATGAAGCCTGAATAGTTTCCTTTAAGGAATGATTTTTCATCTGATGGGCCAGTAAAAGCTTCTGAAATGAGATTGTATCTGCTAGGAGCATTTATATGTATGTAAATAAAATTCCCTTCTCATGTCCTTTACCAGAGGCCTGGGAATTTGGGAGTTCTGCATGATATCTTAGCTGTTCCTAGTACTGCATTCTTCTGGATGTTCTGGGGTTATTCCTGGGATCTGTTGGACCCACTCTCCCAGTTTACGAGTCAAAGCCCTGAGAATTCATACCACCACAGGGACCACTTTGGTCTTGACTTCGTACATCCACTCTAGTTTCACCTTCAGACCAGCGGTGAAATCCAGTCGGATTTATCTGGCTTGCGCAAGCCGGTAGGGCCGGCGGTGGGAGGGCCTGCCCACCCACAGGGACGTCATTAAGTCCCGTTTTGACCCACAATAAGAAGGCTCTGCACATGTGCAGAAGAGGCGCATGCGTGCTCACATTTCCGATCCGGTAGCAAAGGTAAGTGCATTTCACTGCTGCTTCAGACCCTGGTACTTCTCCAGCTTCTCATACACCTTCATTCTATGTTGCTGTCCCTTAGCACCACTACATCTATTACCACTGTTGTCTTTTGGTCCTTTTGTCTACTGCCACAATTGTCTGGTTGACTGGTCAGTACCTGCCTGTCTGCCTGGAACTGTTATCCGTTGTGACTTTCTGGACTTAAGAAGACCTAGCCCATACACTGTGCAGATGTTCCTATATATAATGCCAGTTGCTTGGTTGTGCTGTTCACTGCCTTTATCTTACACCCTGCCACTATGTCTCCAAGGCCTCTCTGCGGCTTAGTTCTGCCTAAGCACCAAATCCATAGAAGACCTCTGCTTAGTGCTTAGTGCCTGTTCTTGGGCTGCTCCTGCCACCCAAACACAGGATAAATTAACTCTAATTATCTATGGAATTGTATGAATGGATGTGTCAGCTGCATCACTAGCTGCCAAATGTCTTTCTAAATCAAAATATATTAGCAGGTAGAATAAGAATAGAAGGACAGCACACACACACAAAAATTATGATACGTCCTTGTCAAATATTAATGCATTGGCTTTCTGGATCGGTCCTTCCCTGTATGAGTCACCCAATGTGAACAAGGATGCTCTGGGGGTAGATTACCATTGTATCTCGCACCTGCCTTCAGCAAGGAGAGCCATAAAAAAGAAAAAGAAAAAAGAAAATGTATTTTTGAAGTGCTTCATATATTTCTTTACCTGTAATACACTGCTGCTCTTACTGCTTGAAGCAGGCTCATCTTTAGCTGATACCTTCTGCTGTTTCTTGTTCATCCCTAAAGACATTGGATTTACATCAGACATAGTGGTGCGTGAAATACTGTATTAGATGTTCCACTTCATATACAGAATGCAGACAGGTATTAATGCCATTGCTGATTCTCATTTCCAGCAGCCTATAGTTTAGTAGTTACCGTATTTTTTGCATTACAAGACACACCTTACCATAAGACACACCTAGGTTTAGAGGAGGAAAACAAGAAAAAAAATATTTGGAGCGCTGAATATGGAGCAGCAGTGTAGTGAGGGCAGGAGGTGGAGCCTGGGAGGACCATAGATAGGTGTCCTCTCATGTACCAGCTCTGCCTATTGACTCATGCACTGCGGAAAAGAGACAGAAGAGGCGGGCAATGACAAAGAGAAGAGGCGGGGTTCAGCACTGTAAAAGGACCCTGCCGTGGCAGCCCGGATGCTATTCACCAAAGGACTGGCACCCGTCCACTCGACCCTGGAGGTAATACACTTCTGTCTGTGGTCTGGGATGCAATATTCACTCCATAAGACGCACAAACATTTCCACCCACTTTTGGGGGGAAAAGTGTGTCTTATGGAGCAAAAAATATGGTAAGTACATTTATGCAGGCAACAATAATGACCCAATCATACAGCATTCTAAAACCCACTTCTGTTTCTGATAAATAATGGGAAGTTGCATGCTGAGTTGAGGTTAAAAATGAGTCAAAACTGAGTTTCATATCAGCTGAGCCAATCTTAAGTTTATGTAGAAAGATGGCTAAACTGCAGGATACATACAATGCTAGCCTAGCTAATATTTTTTTTGGTGCAACCTGGATGAAATTTACTACCTGCCTTAAAAGACAAATGCTATTACTGCCCACTGCATCTTCTTTTGGAGCTAAATATATAATTTTTAGAGAGGGACATATTTCTGTATCTTGTCTTTTGTATCAAACGTGTCAGGAGTCTCAGGAGTAAAATACTTCCTCAGATTTTGAGAACTACAGTTTTTAGCTAAAATGGCCAATAGTGAGGGATGTTGGGAATTGTAGTCCAGCAAACATTTGGAATCTCAAAAATTCCTCATTTCTACTGATATTCTTGAGAGAGTAGAAGACAATTTGACATTTCTTAATTACAGCTAGAAGGTTAAATGTAATTAGTAAGGAAGTAAAACTTGTGTGAGCAGACCCCTTGAGGAATCTGGATCTTAATTTATCCAAGCAGCTCATGAGGATATAGAGGGCAAGCAGAATAACAAATGAATAACGTTGGTGCATGTAGATAAATGACATGGCTCATGAAAACTGAGATTATCTAGTGCCTACTCTGTTAGCTTCAGACTCCTGTTAGATTAATAAAGAACAGCCTTACTTATATTTTACCTGCTGTATTTATTTTACCTGCTGTATTTATTATAGTACATTCGATGTATGAAAGGTACCATCTACTGAACAAGAAATAGTTTCTGTATTCCACTTGGGAATTCAGCTACTTTAATGTTTCTCGCTCTCAGCAACTTTAAGATGTGTAGACATCAACTTCCAGAATTCTCCAGCCAGCAATGTGCTGAATTCTAGGAATTGAAGTCCACACATTTAAAGTTGCTGAAGCTGAGAGACACTCAGCTACTTGACCATCTTTCTTCTATCTTATGCATGTTTTTTTTCCTGCCTAAATTCTGGCATGTTGCATATGTAGAATAAAGCCAGAATGGCCTTATTTGACAGATAGAATTTAGAAATGTAGACATTTATTTATTTTTATTTATTAAATTTATATGCCTCCGGTCTTGCCCAGAGGTGACTATTATTTACTTTCCCACTCCCTGTATCCCCCCCACATGAACAAAGGGATTAATATACATCACCTGAGTAACCAAAAGATATGCTTGACAATGGACTAAGGTAAATACCACTTCCAAACATTGCACCATGGAGCTGAAAGTTGAAATAAACAAAAAGCTAGTGAATTCTTCAGTTGTTGCATTTTATCAAAGATAAAACTCGGAATGTGGTTCTTATGCTAATCTAAGACCAGTTTTGGCTGGTGGATATATTTGAATTTACAAAAGGCTTGTTATGTTGGCTACGGCCAATCACAAAGCCTCCATTTATCAGAAAGCAAGGATGATGAGGTTCTACTCAAACACCCACGCACACCATCTGACATCTCAAGATGCTCTATATTGCCTCAACTTTTACAGCACAAGTTGATGGAAATGATGGCTACTCTATGTGCTATTTGTTGAATGTGTTTTTACTTTACGATATTATGTTGAAATGTTAAGATGTTATGTTTCAGGGATTTGTGCTTTTGTTTGATTACACCGACTTGCCTAAAAATATTGATGAAATAAATAAATAATAGAGGAATGGGCAGGCCCTTTTTACTTAGTCTTTGTTACTTTTCCAGATGGTTCTCTAATCCATAACAAAACTCAAGAGAGTGAAAAGGGTATCAGTTCAGTTCCTGGCAAGTTGGGCTCCTGTTAGTATGAGCAAATTCAAGGATTCCAGGTAATAATAACAGTGATGATATCAACCTGATAATCATCTTTTCATTCTATGATATTCTACGAAACTGTAGATTATGTAGGAGAAAATCAGGCTGGGCACAAGGGAGGGGTCAAATGTGTCATCAGTCATGAGTCTCGTTGAGCCCACAAGAGATCTATCTAAGTCCAGCCCACCTTGAATTCCTTCTATTCTTATCTCCCGCTAATTTCCCTTGGCCGTTAGTAGTTCAGATTCTTGTAGTGAGCTTAATCTTACAATTAATTTTTATACCCATTTGAACTGCCTGGATCTCCTGATTTTCCTGGAGCTTGACAGGTTAGGCCTCTGTGCCTTTCAAAATACATTTATATATTTGCTTCTACTTTTCACTTCATTACCTGCAGCCTTGTATTGGAAGCAACCACTAAGCCATTCCTCAGGATCGAGTGCCAGTTTTCAATGTGCGATCCACTTAAATACAAAAGAAAAGACAAGCAGAAATCAAAGTAAGGAAAGCATTATAATTAAAAAGCATTACCAATGAAATTAGAATGGATCTGTGTTGTAATCTCTGTTACTTGGTAAGACAAGGAATCAATGATATCTTTATTTCTATTTGTAATACTTACTGAAATGCAAAGGTACTTCCATAAAGAGTTTTAGCAGCTCTGAAATTGGACTCTTTGGCTGGTGGACTGCTGAGCAGAAGAAACTGGTGTGGGGTGTGCATAAATTTCAATTGCTATAGAAGAACAAAAGCAGAAGAGGGGAGTTTTATATCTATAACAGTTTGACATTCTCATGTACTTGTTAATTTTTTCGTTATACCGTGATTCAGGACACAGAATAATGGATTTAGATCAAAGGTAGGCAGATTACATTTCAGTTTTTAGAAAAACTTTGAAAGTGGAACCAATCATAGAGAGAGTGGGTTATAAAGCCCCTTTCCCTGGGCATGTTCAAAAAAGGCATCTGTCTTGGACATTTAATTTGAATCCTGCACTGAGCAAGGTCTTTGCTTAAGTAGCCCCTTCCAACTCTAATTCTATGATAGTAAGAGATTAGATAATCATTTGTCTGAAATGCTATAGGGTTTCCTGCTTAAGCAGGGGGTTGGACCTCCAAAGTCCTTTCCAACTCTGTTATTCTCTTCTCTTCTATTCATTAGCCATAGACTTTGATATGCCAAGGCCAAACGGTGTAAAAATTATTTTTGAAAACTACACAATCTTAAGTTGGAATTTGATCTTGAAAAAATAAGGAGTTAATCCTTCCTATAGCCCATACATTTACCTGGACTGAACTCTTGACTCTGCACAGATACTGTTTCTTCCAAAGAATCAAAATATCATCAATACAAATTATTTTTATGCATATTTTTATGCATTTTATTGCATAAAAAATGGAAACTGTTTTCAAACCAATAAGAGATGCTAATGGTTCTAAACAGATTGCAACTAAAAATCGGGGAGAAAGTTTTTTTCCTATATGCGATCATAGTAACCTGGTTTTTCCAACAGTATGAATGAATGAAAGAGCCTGTAGTACAGTGGACTAAAGCACTGTAATTAACATCTGCTGCTTGCAATTACTGCAAGTTCAAATCTCACCAGGCTCAAGGTTGACTCAGTCTTCCATCCTTTCAAAGGTAGGTAAAATGAGGACCCAGATTGTGGGGGCAATAAGCTAACTTTGTATAAATATACAAAAGTATGAAGGCTATTGCTTAACGCATTGTAAGCCACACTGAGTCTCTGGAGAAGGGCGGCATATAAATTTAAAAAAAAAAGAATGAATGAATGATGTTATAGAATCTGGTGACAAAACACCCACAGGGAAACCATAAGCTCTGACAACAATGAATCCAATTGGTTGAGCTACAATCTAAGAATGCTTCTGAGGAATCAACCAGAGAGGAGACTTTCCGCTTCCTATCTCCTTTTCTCTGGAATAATTTCTCTCCAGAATTAAATCAGCATTAATTCCAGTTTAAATAAATATTGGGGAAAAGAAATGCTTCAACATTGAGAAAAAATTATATAGTTTCATTGATGATCAATAATTATACCATTTTTGTTTGTCTTAGTTTACAATGTATAATTTATACTGGTTTCATTACTTTGTACAAACTGCATATATTCTGTGTTGTAAATTATATTGAAAGGTTGTTGACAAATAATCAAATGATTATGGCTGTTAAGGTACATAACGAACTTCCTTGGAACTTATCAAGTATTCCAGAGTTTTCTAAACTTTTCTTATTTTTTTCTAGAAATAATTTTGGATATTTCTATTTGGCTATTAGAGCTTTCCCCAGTGTTAGTACCTCTTTCTGAAAATTTTGCAAAAGCAAGGTTTATCTGGAGGATCTATGGATGGAAGGTTGTAATGGCATATCTTATTGAGGTTGGTTGTCAAGGCATATTTTTCTAGACTTAAAGGATTTCCTAGGCCAAACAGTTCATTCTTAAAATTTGATATATTCAGCCAATCTTATTTTATATATAATCAAATGCTGAGCCAATTGTATCTTAGATAATCCAGCAGCATTGAAACACAGAAAAAGTTAAGCATGTAAATCCTTATAATTGTTTGTAGGGAAATTTGCTTTCTTTGAAAAAGCATACTAGCCTAATTTTGACCATTGTTCTTAAATCTAAGAAATATGCATCAGTTTCAGCCTGATGATCTCCATATACAACTACTCCCATTACCTCTAGCTAATGAACAGAACCATCATTGAATAGTTGTATTTTTTAAAAGGTAAAGGCACAGAAAAGCAAAATCTACTGGTTGATAAACTAAAAACCGTATTCTTCCAAAATCCAACTTGCTCTTAACATTAAACTTACCCTGTTCACAGGTAGCTTCACAATATGTGATCTATTACTGGAAATAACCCTGAAATAGAAAATATGTGAAACAAAATAAATCAGTTTTTCATGCTAGCCCTGAACGCCAAAAAAGTACTGTTGGGATTCTTTATTCCATTTTCCTTGTGTTTATATAGAGAAACTCAACTATTGCAAGGTATATTTTGTCCCCCATGGTAAGCCTAGTTATTTGTATCAATCAAGTAGGAATTGAGAATTTACCAAAACTATAGTAAGTCACAAAATAAAATGTACCCTGTTGAATTCAAGGAACCTATCTTAGAGTTCAAAATAAAATGTACTCTGTTTTCTGATGAATTAAAGGAATCTATGTCATTTTAATTATTTTTAATCAATATTTACAATGGAAAGGTACAATCCATCTTCAATTAACTCAGCGTAAATTTCATCCTTTCTGCCTATCCCCATCCAAGATATAATGTTATGAATTCTTGCTTTGTGTTACAATGCCCACATGACCATTCAATGCCCCAGTCCCTCATACCGGCAAGAATGATAAATTTAGAAGTTATACATGATTTTTCTATTATACCATATAATGTCATAACGCATTGGGCTGATACTATCTTAGATAGGAAGAACAAATTTGTTCTTCAGTTTAAGGAAATTGCACATCAAGATAACAAGATATAAGATAACTAGGGCCTTATCATAATATTTCAAAAGTGCTCTGAATGTATTAAATAGACGGCATATAAATCTATGTAAGATCTTTACCACTGTAGTAGAGGATGCGCAAGTGAGTCTTGTTTGTCCATCTGCTTCTTTATTTCTAAATAAGGTGCCTATGAAATAATAACAGTACAATTATCAACTAAGAGATATGCTGCGACTAGATACAAGCCAGTGTTGATTCTAGTAATTCTACTAATCCAAGAAATTGTAGAACAGTTTAGAAAGTTACCTAAAGAAAAAGCTATCACTTTGAAAGGACCCGAGTCTCTTTTGTGTCAAGCTCAGCTTCTAGTGACCCCATGGGCATATTCATGCAATTTCTTTGGTAACAACAAAAAAAAATAAATGTCACTGTCACCTTCTGGAGGTTTTTCGGGCTTCTTAAAGATTTTTTTTGGTAATTTCCCACTCAAATACTAAGTAATATTCAGCTGCATTTTTTCAAAATTCAACTGGTTTTTTTGTGACTGATAGACTTTGGATGAATTATATATAGTTCAAAACTCTAGCAACAGTAGCACGTTTTCTTATAAAACTGCATCCCGTCACTGGTTTCTGGGATTCTTTCCCAACTATCTCTTACAAGACATTTGCTGCCCAATGCAGCCTGTTCTCTGTAGATATTTTAAGATTTTTTTTTTGAACCTGCTTATGCTATCCTTCTTTTTCAGTGGTCCCCTAAGCCAGAGATCCCCAAACCCTGGGGCTGCGGTCCACTACCAGGCCATGGCCTGTTTGAAACCTGCCTGTGAGCAAACGCGCAAACATAAAGCTCCACTTCTGCGAGTGGAAAGTCCTTGCACTTGTGCATGAAGTTCCACTTGCACAAATGGTGCCCCCCCTTCATGTGAGTTGAGTTTTGCACACAAGCACAAATGCCCTCTGCTCAAGTAGTCTCCACTCGCACAAGTGGAGCTTCATGCATAAACACAAGTGCCTGCTGCTTGTATGAGTGGAGCTTTTGAGTTGAAATTTGATCTTTACTATGCCCCTTATGAGTATAATTCACACTTACCCACAAACATCAGTGAAATATTACTTCGTTTAAAAAATTACATTATTGAATGTAATGATCATTGAAAATCCTCTTTGAGAAGCCCATCATAGTGATTCATTCCCAGTGATACCCCATGACCTTCTCACTTTAGCAGTCTTTGTAAAAACACCACATTTTACAGTTTGACTGACTGATATCCCTTCACAAAAGCTTTAATAAAAAAGTAGAGATACTACTGATAGTAAACAAAGCATGTTTAAAGAGAAACATTTGATAAAATGTTGACATGACTGCAATGTTTGCCAGTCAATATAATTAATACACCTTATGTTTTCATGAGCACAAGGTTGCATGTCCTCAAGCCTGCTCTTCCTCCTAGGTGGCCATGAGGTCAGAGGTATTTGCTTTCTATTTTATAGTAAAAAGACTTCTTTATTAGATACAAACTGGGAAGAATAATTGTTTCTGTAAGCAATGGTTAAACATAGCTTGTTTGATCCTGGCTGGTTTGCAAAGTAGTATCCCCATTCCTCAGTTAAAATCTTTGTCTAAAATTGACAAAGATATCCTCAGATGATGACGACCCTTGGTTAGTTTAAGATCAGATGTTGATTATCTCTTTGTCCTATCTATGCTGAAACATGAAAGAGATGCTTGAGTTTGCTCGTAAATGTGAGCTAGAAGCATGGTTGAACTTCAAGATAAATTGGCGCATTGTGGAGACTATTCACAGCAATTTTATGCAGAATGCTTTCCAAGCAGATAATATATATTTCTTAAAAACTGGTGCCAAAATGCAAGGATCAATAAAATACAATAGGTTCTATCCAGGTATACATCTTTGTAAGTCTCACCAAAAATGCTATCTCAAAATCCTATAAAATGCTATTTAACATGTCCCTGAATAAGATAAACTGGAGAATGGGGAGATAGAGAGAGAAGATAAATTTCTATCACATCGGGAAGAAGAATTTTCTGACATAGCTTCTGTAGTACCAGCAGACTTATAAAGCTGCTTCTTATTCCAACTCAAATGTTCTGTTCAAGGAATGTGCCTCTTCCTAATTTTTAAAATATTGTCCATCCCCTTGCAACTCCTGAGCTGTAAGCTGCTGTATTCAGAAGGGTGCATTTTTAGGGAACTGGGGTTTACCATGGCAAGAAGGGCCGATAAATCTGCACATTCACAGATATGTACCGTGACCCAATTTTAAACCTTGAGTGAATGTCACCACATTTTAGTACATCATTTTGATTGCCCAATCTGAAGAGACACATCAAATTTAGCTTCAGCAGAACTTTCGGATAGAGTCACAATGTAGCCCTCTTTCCATCTTCAAATGCTTTCCTGTTTCACTTAAGTGAACAAGCTTTTACTTGCAAAACCATCAGTGTCATTGCAGCAGATTGTCACAAATCTGTATTTTTCCCTTGGCAGTTTGCTTTGGCTTGTTCCTAAGAATGCACACGAATTTAGAAATAAACACACAAAAATACAGCAAGGTGCTGCTGGTCAGTGCTGTATTCCCCAGACAGGGGAACAATCTATTTACTCTCACGCAGTCCTGCCCCTATTTTGAATGAAAAGTTCCTTGTAACGGCCTATGATATCGATGGCAACATTCAAGCTTGATCTGTCCGTGTTGTGGTTCACTGATTTTATCTTGCAACTTGTTATCTACACAAAGATTATTTTGATAGGCTTTCCTGGCACAGCTCTAGTAAAACAATGCTAAAAACTAATCAACAGATGTTATCATGTATTAATACTTTAGAGCGCAACAATTAATTTACTTATTTATTATGCCTACCTGCGTCATTTCTCTTATGGAAGTAATGCTATCCAATGCTTTCATGACCCGGTCATAATTCTTCTTCTATGGTGAAAGAAATGAAAGATTACTTTTCTCTTTTGCATGTTTTAAAGTATATTAAGTATATCTCTTATAACAGGGGTGTCAAACTCAAGGCCTGGGGGCCTGGTCAGGTCTGTGGGGTGCTTAGATCTGGCCTGCGGAGCCACCTTGGAAACAGTAAAGGACAGGCCCACGGTGCCTCTGCCAGTGAAAATGGAGGTCATTTTCGCTGGCAGACAGTGGTGGGATTCAGCTAGTTCGCACCACTTTGGAAGAACCGGTTGTTAACTTTCTGAGCAGTTTGGCAAACTGGTTGTTGGAAGAAATTATTATGGCAGAGAACTGGTTGTTAAATTACTTGAATCCCACCACTGCTGGCAGAGGATTACAAAAGGCCGTCCCAGCCAAAAGTGGAGTTTGGGACCGCAGGCAGCCCCCCCCCCGCCCCCCAAGCTCTGTTTTCAGTGGCAGAGGGTTGCAGGAAGTCATCCCAGCTAAAAACAGAGTTCGGGAGCCTGTTTTCACTTGCAGAGCTCTTGGGCCACCAGAGGTACCCCTGACACAAGTGACGTCGAACTAGCCACGCCCGCCCTGGCGTCCCAAGGTCAAACACAACCCTGATGTGACCCCCATTGAAATCGAGTTTGATACCCCTGTCTTATAATTATAAAATTGGGAAGATCTATTTAGTTCCTGAATCCAAGCCTCTGCGGTATGCAGGCATTCAAATCAAGGAATCCATAGCAGATAACTATCTAAACTCCCTGCTGGAATATATCTTGTGAAAGGAAGCCCATGACTTTTCTGAATAATTGGGTTTCACTGTCACTGTAGTTATCATAACAATTACCGATAATTTTATATAGAAGATGAAACTTATAATCCCTACACCATTACAAGATCTAACTATATCAAAATGTTGTACACGTAACATCATCATGCAAATAATGCAACTGACATACTCATGTCAACTGTTGTCACGATATCTGAATCAAACACATCAACTGCATCATTTACACAAAGACAAATGGTGATGCATTTTCCCACTCTTGCTCTCCCTACAATCAGTAAGATACTGTTTGAAATGACATGCAGAGTTACTGCTACTTTTCAATGCTTTAAAATCCATTACTGATTGTATATCAAAAACCTATCTGAAACTCCACCTGTTATCCACACAGTATGCCTATCAACCAATTGTTGTAGCCCAAAACATATGGAGATTATCTGCCTCTCCCAAACAGATGATATTCAGATGTTTTGAACTCACACTATTCCTAACAACTGGTAATGTGAACCTGGGCTGATAATCCTAGTGTGAAACATCTAAAACCAGACTGAAAAAAATAGTTGGGCATCAAAACGAGTGGTAGCTAATAATGTGTGTTTGGTTTAGAAATAAAAATGAATGTGAATATGTATAAAGTCATTTTTTTTCCTGTATCCAACTCTATCTTAAAGTAATGATTTGGGTAATTAATTACTGTAGTTATTCAGAACTAGATTACTATAGGTATATGTTTGAAATCATTCAAATAGCTCAGATATAGGGCATATTTTTGCTCTGAAATTTTAGTTAGAATGATTTTATGTCTTACAAATGTCTTTGCTTGATATCTTAAAGTGCAGACGTAAGAATGAACTAAGCCATAATGTGGTTTGCTTGGTTTTGGTTTATTGTATTGTATGAACCCAGTTACCAAAATATGTAAACTATGGCTTAATACACATCAGAAAATATCTAGTTTAAGCAACAAACCACTTTATAGCTATAACTTTATGAGTGAACTGAATGTTTATGACATTTGATTAATAAATTGATATCACCTAAATCTACTGGTTTGCATAAGGAGTGATGTAAGTAACCACACAAGGTACATAATTTTTATTTGAGCCTTGATATCAGTCGTCCTCCAAGAATGTGGAAAAGGAAGGAAGTAGTGTTCTTTGCCCATATCAACACCCCTCCCCTCCAAATACAAATGATACATACCCTGGGATTAAAGGCTAGCATCTGAGAGTCATTAGGATCTACTACTGAGGGATATGGCTCAAAAATGACAACTTTTCTTGGGGATTCTAATGCAGAACGGCACATAGATACGAGTAAGTCTACAACCTAGAAAAAAAGAAAAGACAAAAGAAAGTTCAAAAAGTAGACTTTCCCCTTCCCTCCCCCAAATAAGTACATATATGATTTGCCAACAGATCTGGACCAGAACTTTGTTAAACTTTAACAGGGTTTCAAATATAATTGTACCAGCAGGACTGAGATAATTTACCAGTAGCTAGAAGATCTGGATCTGTTCTTCATTGTGTTGCAATGTTCCCATTTTAACAGTAATTTAATAGGAGTGTCAAATGATATGCAGGGGTAAAGGACGGTCTCTGATTTTGTAGAATCTGCTTTGGCTCCTTTATTTGAGTAACTTCTCTCCTGGGAAAATCCACTTACTTCTTCAAATTATTAAAGGCATGGTTTTGAACATCCATTCAAGGATTCAGATTATTCATTCCATAAATGTACAAGGTTTATAGATTAACAGAGTTGGAAGGGACCTTATAGGTCATCTAGTCCAACCCCCCACTCAAGCAGGTGACCCTACACCATTTCTGACAAATGGCAGTCCAATCTTTTCTTGAAAGTCTCAAGTGATGAAGCTCCCACAACTTCCGAAGGTAACTTCTGTCCCATTGGTTGATTGTTCTCACTGTCAGAAAGTTCCTCCTCATTTCTAGGTTGAATCTCTCCTTGGTCAGTTTCCATCCATTATTCCTTGTCTGGCCTTCAGGTGCTTTGGAAAACAGCATGACTCTCTCCTCTCTGTGGCAGCCCCTCAAGTATTGGAAGACAGCTATCATGTCTTCCCGGTCCTTCTTTTCACTAGACTAGCCATGCCCAGTTCCTGAGACTAGCCATGCCCAGTTCCTGGTTAGGTGTATACTAATCCCAGTTAGATGTATACTAACAGGTTTTCTTTCCTTCCATGTACACATACGACAAATTTTGGTGGCGTCCACATGTATATGGTTAAAAGTATAGAAGCTTCTGTTTATGAAATTGTAATTCAATGAATGGCATTGGATACTAAGCCTGTGTGAATGTTGACAGGCCACCTCATCTGAGGCAGGATTTGGAGTCCAGTAATGGACTGACAGATCCACCAGAGAAATTCCAGGCCAACTCAATACAGGTAGTTCTCAACTTACAACTACAATTGAGCTCAAAATTTATGTTACTAAGTGAGAAATTTATTACGTACATTTTGCCCCATTTTACGACTTTTCTCGCTACATTTGTTAAGTGAATCACTGCAGTTCTTAAATTAGTCACATGGTTGTTAAGTGAATCTGGCTTCCCCATTGACTTTGCTTGTCAGAAGGTCACAAAAGGGTCCTGGGACACTGCAACCGTCATAAATGTGAGTTGGTTTGTCAAGCATCCCAATGTAAATCATGTGTCCATGGGGATGCTGAACGTCATAGGTCTGGAAAACGGTCATAAGTCACTTTTTTCAGTGCCGTTGTAACTTCGAAAAGTCACTAAATGAACTGTTGTAAGTTGAGGACTACCTGTACCCAGAACTGAAATGAGACTGAGGAAAATGTTCAGTTCTCCCATAGTCAAGAACAGGAAATACGTAAATGATTAAAATATTTTTCTCCAATCAAAATGGATGGAAACCTTATAAAATCCATAACATGTGAAACATTAATTAGGATAAAATTTAATAGGTATGATAGAGATCTGCTTTTTTAAATCGGATTTTTTTATAAAAACAAAACAAAAAAACCTTCTCATAAAATCATTATTCCAGACCTTAACAAAAATTCCTAAATATGGTTTATTTATACTATTGCTGCCCTTTAATAATAATCTTTAAAAATTGTTTTATCTTGTCAGATCCTAATGCACTTGCGATCTCAGACTACATGAAGTTGCTTTTGAAGATTATCTACAAATTTCAGCTGGTCTGCAATGCACTGCTTGTGCACTCAGAGGTCAGTTACAGTACTACTATGGTAGGTTAAACAAATGCTGCATGAGATGCACAGTTTAGCCATAAATTTCCAAGTGCAATTGAAGATGCTGCTTGCTAGCTATTAAATCCCCTGTGACTGGAGCCCTGAAATTTTGGGGAATACCTTTCCCAGTATATTTTGCCCATCCTTTTCAGATAACCAGGGAGTACTTGCTTAGCCAGTCTCTCATACATGGAGGTATGGTGGGAAACGGGCCAATGCTGCATGTTCTCTATAGTAGCTCCCGTCTACTGCAGTAGCCAGCGTGTGTGGAAAAAAAAATTGCATTTTTTAAAAAATGAGTTATTTATATTTGGAATCACTGAAGGATTAATATGCCAAATAAAAACAACTTGTACCCGTCTTTTTCTGAATGTAATAACTCACTGAATTTGGTATTTATTTTCCATTGATATTCCCACTGTTGCATATCAATTGACCTCTTTAAATTCTGCATCAATTTAATCATACAGTCTTTGATTTGATCATATTTCAAAACAAGTTAAAATAAGTCACAACAGATGCTTGGAATTTTGTGCTATATGTTTTTCAAATTTGTCCAAATTCCTGAGCATTCCATCTTGTTTTTGCGATTTTTTTTTTAAAAAAACTATACTACTTATTTGAAGATACTGAAACCAATGAATTTCTGAAACTGTCTTGAAAAATTTCATCTTAGTTTTAATCTTGCTCTCTATATAAATTATTGTCTCTTCACTGACCAAATTCTATAGCATTAAAGCAAGGGACCATAAATTGGACGTAATCATTTACTTCCATCACATACTTTTGGTGTATTACTTATGATGAAGTCATGTCTTACATATTAAACACGTTTGTTTATATCCCACCGAAATTATTTTGCATGCCTGCAAATCCTGCTCCTTCAACAAAGGTAAACCAGCCCTTTGGCAATCCAATCCAATCCACTCCAGTCCAATAAAATCCAATCCAATCTGTTTTCCAAATTAAAGTGGCTTAATAATATAATTTGAAATGTATAGCTAATTCACTTGTACTTTCATATCTTGCAAAACCTTGAATTTAATCCTTGGTCTTCGGTTTCATCAAATAAAAAGTTAGCAGTCCTTGTCCATTCATTTAATATCTTTTTTCCCCAATTCTTACTGGAATCATATGAAAGTTGACCTTTGTAAAAATATTCATTTTTATTGATTATATTCTTCCTAATTTCAGAGAGAATTCTCTCTCTGGCTGCTTTGAGAAAAATATAGGACCTTCAGCTTTGTAAAGGCTGAGAAATGAAAGGCTCACATCATGATGGAAGTTTAGATTTGATCTGATATGCACCATTATACATTCAATAAATATTCTGATGTGAAGAAGAGAATTCTAGCTTTCCCAGCTGCATTGATGGAATGATTCCCAGACAGCAGTGACACTAGCTGTTTCTATGATGCAGGCGCTAATAAAATTAATTAACCAAGCATCTTCAGTTGGGTACTTTCCAGATAGCCTGGGCAAAAATGGGTAATCTGTGACCTAAGGGCTTTTTATTTTCTCCTTTGCTTTCCATGTTTGTCCCCCAAAGTGCTTTAAATCAGTGATTTTCTCCCTTTTGTTTTTAGCAGGATTTGGTAGAGAAGAGTGTTAAAGGGTAAAATGGAGGGTTTTAGTCCCACAGAAACACAGGAAACTCTAAAATCAATCAGGCAAACTTTCGGTTTTAAAAATAAAAAGGATGCGGATTTCCTAATATTATTTTCTTTGTACTTTGCTTTTTGTCATGTATTGCTTAGTGAGGAAATCTGAAGCTCATAAAAATGTGAGTACATCTGCAATCTTGAGAGGGTGTAAATAATATTGGTCTACAGCTAATTTTGTGATATGCTTTTTTGGTTATTCATTTGTTTATTAAATTTATTTGCTACCCATCTTTTGGTTCAGGCAACTTTGCTTTTTCCTACATAACAATGTGTGCCTCATAAAATGGAATAAGTGTCCCCCCTCCCCATGCAGTTCAAAAGCATGTAAAAAATGCAAGTAGAAAAATAGAGACCACCTTTGATGGGAAGGTAACAGTGTTCTGTGCGCCTTTGGCATTTAGTCATGCCGGCCACATGACCACGGAGATGTCTTCGGACAGCGCTGGCTCTTTGGCTTTGAAACGGAGATGAGCACTGCCCCCTAGAGTTGGGAATGACTAGCACATACGTGCGAGGGGAACTTTTACCGTTACCTTTAATTTCTTTAGTGTAAGTTAACTGAGCAGTCTTAAATATAGTGTGCATTCAAAATGGGGGCCAGAATTTAACAAAAATACTACAAATCATTTCTAGTTCTGGACAAAGCACTTCCAGAAAAAAGCATGAGCTAGAAACACATGAATTTCCCCCATGACGATTGGACATAAGGAGCCTGACAGAACTGGATTAGCACTGAAAAACAGTGCTGCAGAAATCCATGTCTTTGTTTCTGTTATCCAAACTCCTGATCTTCAAAAGTATTAGCTGCTCCCCTGATTTCTAACCCCTTATTAGTAGCCTGCCTTTGTTTTACCTGATTAACAATTTTCTGGTGTTTTGTTATTCATTTGATTTCATTTCATGAAACAAACTAGTGCCTGACCTTCAGCTACACAATCTGTCAACTGACTATGAGCAACACCCTAATGCACTATTTGATAATGGACTGAAAAAAAACATTCCACTGAAAATGCATCTGATTTACTTTACAAATGTTCAGACTGTATCATGTTTCTGATATTCACTGTCTTTAAAAAAAGAACAATGTTAAAATATTCCCATTAACGTTATTAATAGTCCTTCTTGTCAGAGTCTACGATCAAATCCTGAAAAACAATTTTGAATATCTCAGAATGCAAATGAAAGTTATTTATTTCTGAAACAATTAAGAAAATCAGCAACAATCTACCAACAAAGATTACATTTAAAAATTATTTCACTTCATTGTGATATTTACTGTAGCACAGAAACACCTTAAAAGGACCATTCAACAACTATTCAAACACTTGAAGTAGTAAACATATTTTTACTTAAAGGAGTGCTATGAAATGAATTATCTAGTTTGCAGCCCTTCCCTGTTTAACACTTCTTTGATTTAAAATGATTCATTCAGGGAGAACATTTTTTAAAAAAAGGATTTGATTAATGCAACCCTCTGATTCCTCCTACAGCCCCAGATGGGCTCTGACTCATACCAAGGTTAGTTCTGAAATCTTTATATTCAGTCCTCTGGAGGGAAATAAAAAAGAGGATTCTTTCAAAAAGGGCAGTGAGAAAAAAAAAAAACATCAGGGAGCAAAATATATTTAGGCTGCCTTCCCTTCCCTTCTCTCCTTTTCTCACACTTGGCATGAATGGGCAATCTTAATGCCAGTGAGTAAGTGTGGTTCGACGAATTTCAGTATTGGATTAATTGTTCCTCCTAGCCACAAGACAAGGATACACAAGTATCTGTCTAGCCGTAATATCATTGCTAGAAGGTATCAGCGTGGAACTTGCAGCCTTTGCCAGGGTCTAATTCCCATTGGTGGGAATTGTGGTAAGCAGCCCTAGAAAGAAACTGACTTCTTGTTCCTGCCATCAGCATAGGTTGAGGTTGTCTTAAAACTGTGATGACGAACCTGTGGCATGCAAAGCCCTCTCTGCGGGCACGCCAACCGTCTTCCCAGCCCAGCTCTACCGCGCATGCGCGCGTGCCTCCCGCCAGCTAGCTGATCTTCGGGTCTCTGCCATGCATGCGCGGGGTACATGTGAGGGACGCGCTCATGCATGCGCAGGGGGAGGGGGCATGTGCAGGGGTGCAGGTTGGTGCAGGCTTTCCAGGCCCAAAATGGGGCACGGGGGGTGAGGGTGCATCACCCCATTTTGGGCTTGGAAAGCCTCCCGCACAAACCTGGAAGCCAAAACAGGGCGCAGGATGCATGCACGGGACGGCGGGGTGCATGCATGGGGGACACGTGCCCATGTGTGGGGCACATGAGCAGGGTGGGGTGCATGTGTGGGGGGAGCTTGCATTGCATTTTGGGGGTTTGGGCACTCGGCACCAAAAAGGTTAACCATCACTATCCTAAAGCTTACTCATCTGGAGGCTGCCTATCTACATACTTTTGATTCCTTGACAAAACTTGGCTTTGGAGAATAAAGATATGGAAGAACTAACACAGGGAGGGATGAAGATGTTTCTGTGTGGGGTTGTAAAGGGAAGCTTGGATGGAATAGTTTTAGAATAAAGTTCTGACATATTGAGAGTGTGCAGTACTTTGATCTCCAGAAAATGCTTTGCCGAACAAAAAGGAATACCAATGGAAAGCTTGATTATAACACCTTACAGTAAGTAGCTGGGTCATTTTCCAGACTCATTCAGCAGCTCAGGAAAAGGCACAGCTGCTTCCAGGCAGTGCAGGTAAGTGCTGTGTTTATTGCTACATGCCTTTGTAGCACCTTTTGGAGACTGAATTGCTGCACAGTACTAATTTATACATATAGGTAGTGTTTGACTTACAAACAATCAAAGTTACACCAGACCTCAGCCTCCTGAAAAAGATACTTACAAACCAGTTCTGAAGTTCTGATAGCCAGGCCCTCCACACAATGCACTCAGCAACTGCTCAGCATTTACGGCCATTTGCAGCATCCCGTGGTCAACCACTGTGATTTATATCATTTTTGCAAGAAAACCGGCATTTACTTCTGCTCTTCAGCAAAATGCCCCATTGCAGACAATGGGTTCGCTTAACAACTACGGTGTTTGCTTAACAACATTCAGAAAATAGGTCATAAAGTAGGGTCTAGTTACTTGATGACCTCCTTTTATGACCATCACAACTTACGACCTGTAAACATGTATCTAATTTGGATTATCTAATACTGACAAAAAAGAGTTCCGTAATAAAAACTTGAAAAATTGCTTTACCCTAACTTTCATCTGCTATATCATAAAAGTTTGGTGTTTTTGAAAAAGTAAATTATTTGAATTTTACCTGAGCCCCTGTT